CTCTGTCTCTCTGTCTCTCTCTGTGTGTCTCTGTCTGTGTCTCTGTCTCTGTCTCTCTCTCTCTCTGTCTCTCTGTGTCTCTCTCTCTGTCTCTGTCTCTCTCTCTCTCTTTCTCTCTCTGTCTCTCTCTCTCTCTCTCTCTCTCTCACACACACACACACACACACACACACACACACAATTGCAGACCAAATATATAACATGAAATTCTCCTCAAGAGCAAAACAAGAAAACAACGAATAGAATATGGAGGACTTTGTAAGGTACTGACAACTTCAGCTGACATTTCCTCTCCATTACTTGGTGGGCAAGTAAAATGCAAACAGACCAACAGGAAAGAAACAGCTCTTTCATCACCTGATCAGGCTCTCACTATGTATTCTTGGCTGGCCTGGAACCTGGCTTGTAGACCAGGCTGGCCTCAAACTCACAAGGATCCATTTGTCACTGCTGGGATTAAAGGCATGTGCCACCACACCTGTCCTGAAAATAGAGATCTTAATGTCACTACTCTTGTTGGCTAAGAAAATTATGTACCTAGCCTCTTCACAAGAGGAAGGAATTCAGCACGTTAGGTAGTAACACAGCTTCAGTTCTTTGAAAATAAACCCTTTGATAAGGCTCCACTGTAGTTACGTATGTAGAGCTCCATGTGTACCTGAGGTATGAAGCGGGCCAGAGAGTGCCGGTGTAAAAAGCAGTATCTACGCCCCAACAAGCTCAGGTTCTCAGGGGCAGACAGGGTGCTGGGGATGGCAGTAAAATGACAAAGCCATTTTCAACAGGTCAAGTGCACTAAGAAAACTCATGTTCTTTTGCACAAATCAGATGATTTTGGAGTTCTGCCAGTAGGTAAAACAGGCTTCATTTTCTAAGATCCTTGGGAGGTTTTCAAAAACAAATTTCCCTTTGCATTTACCTTCCTTACATGAACTAGCCTGACAAAACAGTTCTCTGCACAGAATTGAGTTGTTTGGAGCCTCACTTGGTACGGGCATTTCCATGAGGCCAGTGTTCATTCTCAAGATGATGTGGGGAAGGCCTCCCGTGTGGAGCTGGGATGTGGTGAGAGAGCGCGCTGGCACAACTGGCGAGCATCGCGTTAGTAAGTGCAAGGTCCTGGGAGCCATGCTTACTTCTCGGAAGAGAAATCAGCCACTTGTACACAGGAGAAACTGCAAATGTTCAGTCTGAACTGTTCCTTTCAACTGGTGTTGTTACTGTTTGTTCTTATTTTTATGAGACAGGGGCTCACCAGGAAGCTCTGACTGGCATGAGACTGGCTTCAAACTTGGAGACCATGTACCTCTGCCTTTCTAGTGCTGGGACTAAAGGTGTGCGCCACTAGGGCCAGCTCAGTCTGCGATTTTAAACACTCACATTCAAAACTTAAAAGAACAAACTCTTTCAGAAGACCTGTGCCTGAACTGCAGGTGCCCTGGGAACACACAGGAAGAATATTATCTGATGCTTTTTCAAGGGCAAGCTGGGCACACCAATCTTTCTGCCAAAGAAGTCCCTTAAACGGCAGGTCAGCGACTCCAACCTTGTATATAGAGCTGGGTCTGCGTCATACTTTTGTAATGCCACCATACATTTGGAAGGCTTGAAACTCCCTTAACTAGCTAGTTCATTTAAAAAGCATTGCCATCACTCATGAGTCAACAAAGCAATAAATACTTATGGGATGCATACACTACCAGGACACCAAACTCAATGTTGTGTTGTGCATAATCTCCTTACTCACATCTGGATGTAGCTCACAGGGTATAGTGGTAAAAAAGCCTTGGAGTGCAGTGTTTTCTATATCTGAATACCACTGGGGACAACTCTCCTCTCGTCTGAAAAGATAAAAATTAGCCAAGTCAAATGGACTAGGGCAGAAAGGATGGCACTTGGGGTGGCTGGCTGAGCTCACAGGGCTCTTTCAAGATGCTCACAGAGTGTTTTAAAATGAATTGTTTAGGAATGGCATCTTCACAGAAGTATTCAGAATGACCGACCCCTCAGCAGCATTAGGACGGGGTCCTTACTATCAAGAGATGATTAGTGAAGTGTGAAGATGACTGAAAGAAAGCTGCACAGGAGATAATTTAAAGATTTAAAAGAAGAATCTAAGTACTGGGTAGTTACTTTGTGACTTACGTGATTTCTTTGCTTGCATACACAATTGTTTCTCCTTAAGTCTTCGTGCAGTATCACCCTAATCTTGGGACTTGTAATTCTTAAATGTTAGTTAGCTCTTATTTCTTATTTTCTCAGGAGCGTGTTGTTTCTTTTTCTCTAGGATGTGGGATTTTGCCATTGTTTTAAGGGAATGTTTGTTCCTCCTGAAGCCATGCTTCCCCTGTATCCTTTCAGGGGTAAATGCTGGATTAAGCTTAGTTACAGAATGGTCTTCCTATTGTATTTAAATCCTGCAGTCTGGACATTAAGGGCTTCTTAGTTAAGGAGATGTAGGTGTTTCATTCGTGTCTGAGAAGCTTCAGGAGCACAACAATTTGGAGTTAAGGTAAGTCCCCTCAGCTTCCACAGACAACTTCACTGCCCAGTGATGCAGGGTATTAACCTCTCCCCAGCCCCATCACAATAGCCATTCTTCCACTTAACAACAGAAATGTGTATCTGCTCCATCCCAATCTGACCATGGCTTACTGCCTCAGGTGTCTGCACTCCCACAGGAGCAAATAAAGGGACAATTGAGAAGTGTACCTTCAGGGAGGCAGATCTAGATAGCTTTCCAATTGCTTTCAGGGTATATCCTGCAGACTTCTTTGAAGACTACAGCTAAAGATGAAGCAGTGGTATATGATGAAAAGGATGGGTGCTGAGTCAGATAGAGTTAAGTGTTTCACCTTATCTGCTGGAGCAAGTAAATAGTTTTCCCTGAATGTGGGTTTCCTTACCATTAAGGCAGAGGTGGCCAGGACATGGCTTAGCGCATTAAGACACTTGCTACCAGATCTGATGCTTTGAGTTTGAGTTTGATCCTTAGAACCCATGTCATGGAAAGAGAACATTCACAAGCTGTCCTTTGACTTCCACACGGAGTGCCCACACATACATACACATACACAAAATAAGTAAGTGAAGTCTAATTAAAAAGTTTAAAACAGAGATAGCACTTAGATGACAGGCTAGCGCTGGTGCTAGTTAATGCCAGTTCCCATAATTCTAGTATGTTCTCTATATGTGCCAGTGAAGGAGTCCCACATATTGAAACTAGGGACATGTTTTTAAATTACAGTCAGGAAGCATCCTCTTCAATAATCAGTTAAGGAAAAGAAAGTCCAAGTTGACCAGTGTTTGGTATATGGTCATAATTGAAAAAGCAATGAGAACACAGTATATTCTACTTGCCAAGATCAGTGTGCTAGAGTCAGCACACAATTCTCTAGAAACCATGGAAAGGTTCTTTCTCCCCTGCCATGGACACCCTCATGCACATGAGGTCCAGGGCCACTTAGCTTTAACAGAACTGTCGCATGGCTCTTCTGTCCCTAAGCTGTATACTACTGTGAGGTAGGATCATGTATTTCCACTGTTGTCTCTAGCAGCTGGCCCATTAGATAGTGGTAACACACTCGAGAAATTGTTTCTTGAGAGGGAGAGTAGTTTCAATATCAAGCGAGGAATGTGCTGTGTGCATCTGTGTGTGTGCTATGGTGTATACTTGGAAGTCAAAGAACGACCTCAGGGGTCGGTCCTCACACTTTATCTAGTTTCAGACAGGATTGTTTATTGGCTGTTTGCTGCAGTGGGATTCTAGGTATTCACCTAACTCCATATTCCACGTCATTGGAGGGGCACTGAGGCTCCAGACACGTGTGTCACATTCAGCTTTTAGATGTGTTCTTGGCTTAACACTCAAGTCCTCATACTTGCACATCAGGCATTTACTCACTGAGCCATCTGGCCAGCCTTGATCCCATGCCCCTGCAACCCCAGACAGGGTTTCTCCGTGTAGCCCTGGCTCTCCTGGAACTAGTTCTGTACACCAGGCTGGTCTTGAACTCAGAGACCTACCTAACCCTGCCTCTCCAGGGTTAGGAACCTTTCCATGGTTTCTAGGGAACTTTGTGTGGACTGGACTCTAGCACACTGATCTTGGCAAATAGAATATACTGTGTTCACAGTGCTTTTTTTGATTATGTACATGTAACAAACACTGGCCAGCATGGTGTACAAAGCAAGTTCCAGGAGAGCCAGGGCTGTTAGAGAAACCCTGTCTTGGGGTTGGGGGTGGATCATGGCTCAGTGAGTAATACCTGATGTGCGAGTATGAGGACCACCACCACTCAGCCTCAATGTTTTTTGTTAGACTATGATAATAATTCGTGGCCAAAGAAGCCAATGCACACACAGAGAGTATTTCTATTATGTTCCTGGGATGAAAGGAAAAGGGCTATGTATTATTTTGTGAGTATAGAGAAGCCATAGTGAAGACTGATTTAAGTTAGTGGGAAAGCCATCCATCGGCCAGGATGTGCCGATGCCCAAACATGACTTTACTAGAAAACTAAGCCCCATGACTTCTCTCTCTTCAGACTAAAAATTTTCATCTCTGCTGTGTCTGGAGGGCCTGGAGTTGTAATTCTAGCAGTCAGTCTAGGCTTGGCCTGCCTTTGAGGAGGCCCTTTCCCATTTCTTTTTGTTGTTGCTGCTTCTGGGTGTTTTGTTTGTTTTTGGAGACAGTCTCTCTGTTATTTCCCATCTCTGATCATTGGGCTCTGGAAAGTTGGAGAAGACAGAACACACAGTTCATTACCTAATGAGCTAGACAGAGTGAGGCAGCGTTTCTTCGCAGATCTGTTACCTTCTTCTGCCCAAAGATGGAGAGTAAGGACTGGAAATAAACGAAAGTAAACTGGACACAGTGGGGAGAAACAGGGATTGGACGGCATGTGGGTGTGAGGGAGACACAAGCTCAATCCGAGGTTGTCCTGACAAAAGCGCACGCGGTACTCAGATACTTTTCCGTAGGATGAGATATTCCATACCTGCTTGTTGAAATGTCCTCAAAAGGGTAGAGGATCTCGCCATTGTTACAGATTTCGCAGATGAACCCTTTCTGGCTACAAAGACTGCAGCTATAGACGTGCGAGGTGGCGAATTTAATGACCTTGCCCAAGAATGGAGCCAGCTTTCCCTCTATCACCTGTGGAAAGAGAAAAGGACAGGGAGGTACAGTATTGAGCACACAAGTCTTGCAGATGCAGCAAGGGAAGGGGTACCTTTCCTATATGCAACAGGAAAACCTCTCATTATAATTTTCCAGCAGCTCACGGGAGAAAAGGCACAAGACTTTGCTCCAAAGGAACTGGTGTATTCACTGCAGGTTGGAAATGAAGATTCCCAAACTCCTTTTGTGTTCCTGCTTCTGCGGTGTGGTGTGGGGCAGGGTGAGCCCCACGTGAGGAGACCGAGCTCAGAGTAGGAGGTTTGTAAGCCGTGCAGGGAAAGGACGGGCTCGGTGCCTGTGTGATTAAGTCAGAGCACAGCTTTCCTCTGGTGAATGAATGTGACTTCATTTCCACTCTTTCCCCCATGAATACACAGCAAATATAGCGGCCGGCAAATGTAATAATTTAAAGAGGTGTAACCGTTTGAGGGTCATTTTCAGTTTGGAATTTTAAATTTCTTCGTGTTTTTTTTTTTCTTTAATGAGCAACTTTTAAAAATGGGGTTTTCACATTAAGAACAACAGTGACAACACAAGATAATTTTTCTACTCTTGAAATGACCCTGCAGTACTAGCCTGGATTCCAGCATGACGATAACCCTCACTGCATGCTCCTGGCAAGGCATGGGCTGTCCACAGGCAGCGGATCCCACCATGAGCCATATATGTGCCTGTTGTCCCCTCCCCACTGTCATTTTACCTGCTGGCCTGCACACATCCATTAGTTTGGAGCCCATGGCAGTCATACCACTCTGCACTTAACTAATTAATATTCATGGATCCCAACGATTCCAACACCTCACATACAAGTAAGGCAAAAGTCTGCCCGTTATTTCTGTACCATTAACAACTGTTTATATGCTGATTTTGGTATCAGGAAAAAAGATGAAATCAACTTAGAGACAGCCAGAAATAACTAGGAATAGCTACCTGGATACATTTTTTCCCCCAAATAAGCACCTAGTTAGAATGACAACTTTATCTCCAACTAACACCTAAGGGAGACACAGTAATCACACGCAGAAAAATAGGTAAGTATAATGACTGGGAATTCAAAATGAAACGCAGGTGTGTATAATGACCCAGGTAAGTATAATGACTGGGAATTCAAAATGAAAGACTTCAAGGAAAGTCTCTCTCTCTCTCTTTTTTTTTTTAATAGAAAAATGAGGCTATACTGGAGCTGGAAATGGAGGAGGATTTTAAGCATTGGGAACAATATCACGATGTTAACAGTTACAGCAAGGGTTAACTCAGGGGCGGGGGACAAGGCAGAGATGCTGGGTGACCACTTTGTATATTGTGTGACTTTGCCTTTTTTACAGTATTAAATGTATATTGTTTTGCACTGAAATAAAAAGGGAATATAAAATCAATCAAGTTTATTGCTTTTTAGGGGTGGGTCTTTTCCTAATAGAGAGGGTAGAGATTTTGATGGTTGTTTTCTGAGCTAGGCCAGCATGTCTTCCCACTCTTCACCTCTCTTCCCTCCGCAAGGCTGTAGGTACACTAGACCTTTTTCAGTTCTGTTCTCTTGGCAATCGTTAACTCCAATATCCCCTGTAAGGCATGTGCCTAACACCAATACATGATATGCACTCTCTAGGAAATGTCCAACCACCAAACACTTTCCCACGTGTCACAACACTGATTCTACACTGTGGTGACAATCCTTCTGCTGACTTTAGTTTCCTTTTCTCTTCCTTAAGTAATCATGATTGATAACTCATTGAAACAGAGGCCTGAGGATTTAGGGTGGCTTGAAAACCAGGTGAGTGCCGGTGATGAGCAACCCGAGGGAGACATGGGGCCTCATCCAGGATCTGATAGAGACTGAGCATCTTGACCTAAGTGTTTTTTTTTTTCCATCTAGAACTCATCAGGACAAGAGTGTGAAGATTCTGAAGGTTCCTGAAATATTTTACCAATTTGATATGGCCATTGATGTATATTCCTACCTGGGGAAGCTAATGGCCTTTTGAAAATTATTTTCTAATATCTAGTCTCCTATCACAGCACCTGATACACAACTCTATTTTATTAATGTTTCACTTATTATTACTACTAATAATCAGCTTATCCTCTGAAAAAGCTACTCCATTTTGCTTTCAGGTATCCAGTGACAAAGAATTGTGGTACTGAATTTTCACTGATGATAATCATATCTATATGATTCTTTGGGGTATTCCGAAAGCACAAATTTCAAGTAGTAATAGTGTTAGTTGCAATTCTTGCTATTTCACTGACAGCCAAGCTGGAAATTCCACAGTTGACAGTGAATGATTCATTTCTATCAAACACAGATACCCTGAGCCGTTCATCATGTTTTATTGATTCCCTATCCGATTTTTATGAAAAAAAAACAAACAAACCAGATTTATTGAAATAAATTCACACACCATGAAATTCAGTTATTTAAATTTAAACCTTGGTTTATTTATCGAGTGGTGCATGTCACTACAACCAACCCTCCCTCCAGCTCCCATATGTAGTAGTTAAGTCTCCACTGTCCTCTTACTCTATTCTCCTAAGTTCTAGGAACCACTAACTTACTTTTTGTCACTATAAAGCTATTTCATTGAAATAGAACCACATACAATGTGTGTGTGTGTGTGTGTTCTCTTACACAGCATAGTGCTTTTGAGGTTCATGCTGAGTCCCTTTAACCTAATTTCACTGGTTCCAGACTTACCACCCTCTCTAGATTAACAGGATAACCTGAGTTTAATCCCAAAGCCAGTCTTCCTTCTTTAATCTGCCAAGAACAGGCACCAGGCAGTTGTCCAAGACACTTCATCACATACCAGCTTTTCTCCCAAGTCTTCAGTGACTTCTCATTTTATCATTAACAGAAGCGCTTCCCTGACTTAATAGAATCTTACTAAATTACTATGTCCCTGATGCTGGATACAAGAGAAGTGTGCAAAACTAGACTTTATGTCTCACTTGCTTTGCAAGGTCTCCAAAACAGGCGCCTGCAGACCAGCCCAGTTCCAGTGCTCAAGCTTGGGCATCTGCAGTTGTGAGCAGTCTTGTCTGTCCTTCAGGTCATTTCCTCTATGAGGGGGCTGCCTCTCTTCTTACCACTCATTCAGATTTCACATAGGCTTTGCGACTCTGATCTGTTCTGACTTGAACCAGCTGGCCTCGAACTCAGAGATCCACCTGTCTCTGCTTCCCAAGTGTTGGGATTAAAGGCGTGCACCACCACCACCTGGTCCCCCAAACCATTTTTAGCTACAACTGTCACAGACCTCTTTACTTTCACACCATGTGATGCAATATGAAACTCAAGGCTGTTTATTCCTTCACTACTGTTTACACAACTGTCTTGCTTCATGTGGGTTGAACATTTATATACTGAACATACAAATGTGACCACTCTCACCTACAACCTGGTACCTCCACTTGGGACTGCTCAGGAGAGCAGACTGCTCCGAAGCAAGAAGTGAGCCCACCCTCATCTGAAATACCCACTCCCTGACTGCGCAAGGGTGCTGCCCTGCCCTTTTCCTTGGGGGGGGGGTTGTCTAGATGCCACAGCATTTTCAGTCGCTGTGCTGTGAGGGTGAAGCAGGCGCACCGAGACAGCATTGGCTAAGGGACAGCTCAGTTACTCAGGAGTCTGTTTTACTGTTTTCTACTCGAGTCATTGTTCTTTTCATTGTCATCTCAGGTTTGTGGCTATGTTCCAAACAGCTGAGGTTGCTTAAAGATTTTTTTCCAGAAGAGTGAGGTAATATTTTCAAGTTAATTTTAGAATTTATAAACATTCCATTAATATTATGGAAAGGGAAAACTCTATATACTTGCACACTTCCAGGAACAAGGACCTATTGTCCTTGAATGCAATGGCAGGGGGAAAGAGGAATGGCTGTTAGGCCTCTGGTCGAGAGGTTGCATCACTGTGAAAAGTGGGCTCCATGTGTGCTATTCTTTAAGGTTCCTTTTAAAATTCATGACATACCTATATGTGGATAACTTCTCAAAAAACACCCAAGTGCCCTGCCTTCCCTCTACCACCTAAGAGCCTTACACCTTTGAATCCTCATCCTAGTCAACTTGGTGTGACTTAAGGTTAAGACCCTATTCCTAAAGCACTAGGAAAATGGTGGCCTTAAATGAGACCAAAGTGTCATCTACTCCTAAAGCTTCCAGCTGGGAATGAAGACCAGAACAAAGCCATGGGGACCCCCACTCCACCTGAGAAAGACAATGGCCAAGGCACAGTTAAATGGGAGAAGGTGCACTGGCCAAAAAGTGAAGCACGAATGTATTGTTTTTGTTGTTGAGATAGGGTCTTCCCTTGTAGACTAGGTTGGTCTCAAACTCATAGTCCTCCCGTCGTGGTCTCTGTAGTACTACAGTTACAGGTGTGAGTTCAAAAGTACATCCTTAATAAAATTGGCCAAAGAGAGTTAAAAACAGAAAACAGATAGCCATGGCACAGGTTTGCTTCCCAACAGCTTAGGTGTATTATTCCAGTGCCAAGTAGTTAGATTCATTAGAGTCTCCAAAGAAGCTCACCAACCGCACTTCTTTGTCTCTGGTTCCGGAAGCAGTGGCATGCTGTGAGGCTGATCTGAGCACAAATGGTAGCAGTCTCCCTTCCAGCTGGGAGACTCTGGCAAGTTCCTAAGCCTCCCTGAGCTCTGGCTTCCTCCACTAGAACCAGCTAGTATTTACATATAGAGTGTTGGAGAAAGGATTGGGTTTAATACTGTGGCAAAATGGGGAACATGTGTCTGATGGCAGTTGGTCAGTAAGTGACAGCCGAGGCTACCTTCTCTTAATCTAAATAAAAATCATCAATAATTCAGACTCATTTTTCTTCCAAATACTTTAGATCTGCAGCAGGGGTAAGAAAGAAAGGCATGATGTTCACATGTCAGTTTTCGAAAGGCACCCGATTGTCCTTCTGTCTGCACATGATCCAGAGGAAGGAAAAGTAGAGCAGACTCAATCAGGGCCTGATA